TTGAAGTTGAAGTTGCAAAGATGTAGGAATGACCTTTCAGTCGTTTCCCACAGACAGCGCCAATTGATGGTGTACGATCTGACTACTCCTTGCTGGAGGACGATCTAGACTCCAGGTGGACGGCAAGCTAGATCAGTGGTCTGCAAAAAAATCTATCAGAGAACCCGGGATGGCTAACCAGGCGAGGTCGCTCTGAGGCTTAAGTTAGTATGCTGTAAATGCGAGCTGAGTGCTAGAGAGTAGAGTAATCATGCGTACCTTTGCCTTGAGGGTTATGCCTTTATATACTGGAGTAGTCATGGGTCTTACGAAAAAGCTCTGGGATCTCCGGGGTATGGAGATAAGGTTTGTTCCACTTCCAAAGGAGCAATACGTAGATAAGGCTTATCGTTTCACCTCCGACTCTAGCGGAGCCGAGACGAGTTCTCATCGTGATATCGGAAAAGTCAGGATTTGTTAGCTTATCGTGATCTCGAGAGATTTGGGATTTGTTGGGGAGGCCTTAGGAGTTGGTTATACAATGCTTCGGCTCGTTGGCTCCGAGCTGGAACTTCGATTCCTCAGTCCCAAACTGGACTGGATACCCGAGGTGCCTCTACGTCAAGATGGGTCTGAGCCAAGGTGGCTGGATACCCGAACTGCGAATGTTGCGAACTAGGCTTGCCAGGCTGAGCTATCATCCCTTGATTAGATCGTGCCCACGTGTCCCCTTCTCGCTAGGTTGGGCCAAATCACCCTTCATCAGAGTTGTTAAAGGAGGCTGGTCAAGCCATGGCTGCATGTCTATTTAGGGATCACATGGGCAGATGGTATGTGGAGGTTACTTCATCAATGTGGGGAATTCCTCTATTGAAAAGGTTGAACTTTGGGCTACAGGAAGGAATCAAACAAGCTCTTCCAAGGAACCTATTCCAACATATGGTTAAGTCGGACTCATAATCTGCCATTACGGCGCTTAAGACTCAAAGAAGCCCAAATTGGGGGACAGAAATCCTCTTCCTCGACACTTTAAATCTAATGTCCGTATATTTTTTTGAACCACTGTTTTAGGGAAGCAAATCGATGTGCACCGTATTCATCTCCCCCATCCACGGGTGGATGAACACCCATTTTGTAGGTTATGGATCGTGGATTGGTCCCACACTTGATTTTTTATCCCCTACTTCACACTTTTCTTGAAAGGCTGAAATCCTATTGTTTGTTTCACATTTTAATATTTTTATCAATAAAATATTAATTATTTTACTTAATTTTTTAATTTTTTTTTAAATTTTAATGTTATATCAATAAAATAATATTTAAAATATATTTTTTAAAATTTTAACTATTTTACTATTGTTTTTACAAAAAATTAATATTAATTCATTGATGCATTTTTCAATATATTTATCATATAAAATTCAAAAATTAGATATTTATGATTAATTATGTAGATCAAGGTTTTTGAACCGCCATTGATCTAGACGGTCGAACCATTCAGCCCAGGAACCATCCAGGCAAGCGGTTCCATTTTACCCCAAACCAGGTTTTTGGTCAAAAACCGTTGAAAAAGTCAACAACTGGACGATCGAACCGTTCAACGTTTTTTTCCATTTTTTATTTTTAATTATTTTATTATTTTTAATTTGTTTGTTAGAATGGGCCGTCTGTTCAAACTGGACGATCGGACCGTCGATCCGGAAACCGATGGCCATAATGGTTCTGTTTTCGAGTCGTTTTCTAAAATGTTGGTGTTGATCATTCATAAATGTATATGAAATACATGGAATCAAAAAGTGTGGTGTGGATTGGTCCACACCATGCCTATAGAACGCCAATGTGGGTGTGGACTGGTCAAGTCCACACAATTTGTCCACAGTTCAAAACAGTTGTCTATTATGGTGTGGTGTGGTGTGGATTGGTCCTTGCCACATGGTGTGGTCCACATCCACCAATTTTTCATCCACACTACAGAACACCCCCTAAATTAACTTTTGCTAAGAATTGCGTAGTAGATATCTAGATAGAGATAGACCTCGTATTACTAAAACCCTGCAATGGTAGTTATGTAAATATCGGTTTACTTAATGGTAGTTTTATCTTCCTTTGAATCAATAAAAAAAAAATCTTGTAAGTTCAATCCATAGAAATTTTTGAGAAAAAAGAAAACGACAATGACTAAAAGGGTGTTCTACAACATGAATGCTTTTGTTTTATTTATTTCTGAAACTGCGGCATCAGCAAAAAAAACAAAAGCATGTTGATGAACTTTGCTTCATGTTTTGAATAGCAAAAACAAGTTGGTTTTATTTTAGAAAATAAAACGATGTTTTTTAAAACAAAAATAAGCTTTTGTGGTGTAAAAGATATGATTTATGGAACATGTATGATATATAAATAGATGAAAACATGTTTTTTAAACCAAATATTCAAAAACACCTGTTTTTGTTTCAATTTTGGAAATAAAATTCACATATATAATCAAGAACATTTTTCTATATTTATTTTTGTTTTAAGAACCAATTTGTTTTCAAACCAACTGGTATGTGAATTGAAAAGAACACCTCCTAATTCATATAAACGTTTAATTAATAAAAAATTAAATCTATAGAATAATCATATCAATCAGCATTAGTTTAACCAATAGAATGATACCAACAAAAATCCACCACTGGTAACAACAAACAAATTATTTTGGCAGAAAAGAGCTTTACGTTCTTATTTTTCAGCTTCCATAAATATTTAAGGTTCATTTGACTTATTTTTTACCAATTAAACATTTTTTATTACTGATTGGAGGTCAGCCACATAAGCCCTATCCCACCATTGTGGCTCTGTCAAGAGCTATGTAAAACTAATTTAACTACTCAGGATTCATGTTCATATTGGATTGTCTAAGATTTTCTCATATCATCAACTGCCAAGCTAGCAGGCTAACACAACCCTCTGGATTCATGTTCGTAGTAGATGGGTGGGATTCTATAGTTAAGCCGAAAAACAGTTAAAAGAAAAGAGAAAGAAATAGAAACACAGACAACCCGCCCCAGCCCTGCATACTCTGGAATCTGGAATTAATCCGAACATCAAAGGTTAGCAAAAATTTATTACCTGAAAAGGAACAAAAATGTTTACAAGTGAAATAATCTGCGTCGTCCAAAAAATAATAAACGAGGAAAAGTCGAAGGTTCTTAAACTTGGAACCTCGGTGTATGCACAAGTTTATAACAAAAAGATAGAAACAATAGAAGAAGCCCTGGAGAATTCCATTATTTGTTTACTAATTTTTTCTTTCCCCACAGAACTTTTATAGCAGTTGAGAATCATTTCCTGCAAAGTCTTTCCATGCTCCAGCAAAAACTTTACTAGATTGATATGGTTCTCGAACTCGTAAAACCCGTGGAATCTTACAACCTTTAGGTTATCTAGGAAGGATTTCATAGCACATATTTGAGCTTTCCAGTAATGCTCGCTGCCCAAACCAGCCATGTCCCACAAATATCGATGCTGCCGCTGAACAATGAAATTAAATGTCGAAAGTAAGATGAAGAAACTCAACCTCAACTCAGCCTTGACCCCTGAAACTATTGGGGATCGGCTATACAAGGAAGAAACTACGAACTCCAAATCCGAAAGAAAATACTCACATTGTACTTTGTTGATGAAGAACAAGTGATCTTAATGATGAGCGTATGGAGCACTGGAGATCCCTTCAATATGCAAGCTACTCCGGGGATATCATATTTTGTCAAACCAGTTTGTAATTCCAAGGACGTCAAATTTTTTAATGAAAATGGAAAACCTTCTGAAAAATTTTTATCTGTAGACAGTATCTGCAAGACACGCACTCACACCACACCATGTAAACGACGTCTACATGAATGAAAGATATATATAACAAGAAAATTACATAGTAATGTCTTGAAATATAATCAATGGTTTATTTCGCATCGGATAATAGAACTGACATTTCTGTCCAGAAGAATTTCTAAGAGTTTCTCTTTACAGTGTCCGCTAGAACACACATCAACCTTGCAAGGCATATTGGATAAGCCACCGCCTTAATTAATCTCATCTGACAACCAATAATCCTATCTGAAATGTGTCAACAGTTCTAAGGAGAAATCCCTGAAAAATATTTTGGGAAGGATCTGTCCTTTGCAGATTACAAAAATCAGGGATTATTTTGATTTGTTTCTTCAAACAAGAAGAAAAAAAAAAACTAGGAGACCAGAAAAATTATATTGTTTTCGCTTATGTGGCAGCTGTTTTCGTTTTGGAAAACAAAATCATTCATGTTGTCCAATACCCATTCTTCCCCCCACCCGCGCGCTAGATTTGTATCAACCTCAAACCATAGTAGTCCAAATTTGAGGTAAGGCTCGATTCAAGCCTAGATTTTTATTCCTTATGAACATAATGTCATAAATTGCTTGCACAAGTGGGAAGTGTTGACTACTTTTGAGGGGCTCTGAGTACTAAATTTTTTCCATCTAAGTTTATGGCTAATGTATTGAAACACCTAATTATCTTCTTTTAACGTCTCTACTTCATCAGTTTTTGTGGTGGAAAACAGAGTTCATCTATCAACAAATCCAAGGCTTCATAAGTAGAACCGGTTTGGAATTGAATATGGAAAATAAAGTATTAATAACACTAATCTAAAAGAACGTCATAAAAAATTGTGATATTGATAGTTTCCTTTTTTCTGTATTTTTGTATATCTCAGTACATGGTAGAACCTTTTTCCTTTTTTTCATAACTACTATATTTCAATCTCATGCATGAAGAATCAACTTTGTTTGGTGAAAGAACAAATTATCAATGCACTCGATTTCCAGAATCCTAACATTTGATTGATGATGCATTATTGATCATTCTACTGGAATTGGATAGACAGTAGCTAGCTTCTCAAATTTAGGGTTCCTACTTCTTGGTCTACAATGAGTGACAAAGCAATTTTATCTTAATTTACAAATGTAAGTAAAGAAAGAAAATTAAAAAACGCCAAAAGAAAAAGGAAATTAAGATACCTCAACGCATGTTGTTTTGATTACTAAACTTCGGGCATGAGAGAGTCCAGATAAAAGCTTGGCTGGGCTGTAGAGCTTTTGTGTAGTCATGGTGTGATTGGGTAAAAGGAAATCAACGGTAGCCTCTTGGAGAGATGTTAAGTTCTCCAGAGAGCTGTTGTCGGTAATAGAATTGCACGCCCAATACATGGTTCGGAGACTTGGGGCAGATATTCTAACGCAGCTCCTCTCTTTGCCATACTTGAAACAATTCACCACATGCAGCCTCTCTAGTCTTGTCACTTCAACGTCCAGATCAGTTAGTTCACAAGATTTTAGGGTAATATCTTCCATTGAAGAACAACAAATGTTGAGGTGGTTCAATCCTTCGCAGAAATTCAGATTCAATTTCTTAAGGACAGGGAAGCAGGAATTAGAAAACAAATCCGCAACCAAAGAAGCATCGATGAACCTGACCTTCGACAGTGACAAGGCATGGAGTGACCGGAAACCACCGCTGGCCGCCACCGACGCAGCTGTCAATGATAGGCCCAGGAAATTGGATTCTAATTTGAAGATCTTCAGTGATCCACAAGTCAGGAGACAACGAGGCAAACCAAAACCATAGATGTCCGCCATGGAGACTTTGAGATCGAGTTCTTGAAGGTTACACCTCACTGCATGACGGATCCAACCGTGGAAACAGGAGAATGTGCAATCACCAGAGTAACGTAGTCTGGTTATGTCAGCATTTTTGTTGCGTTGAGCGAATACTCGATCGACGACCTCCATACTGCTTCTATGTGTGTACCGGCGTATCCGTTTGACGGTCCGCTTTTGCCTTTTCGTGGGAGTGATAGGAGAGAGGCTGGATGTGGTGAAATCAAGATGGGGGACAGAAGCCCAGAGAGATCTCCATCTTTTCGATAGGATCGAAGTTCGTACGACATCTCTGATAGGAAGAAGAGAGAGGATGTGATGAAGGAGACTGTCCGGGAGATCGCTGATCCGGTCCTCGCCGTTAGCACCTCCGTTCACGGCCTTGAGAAGCTCCTTCAACCTTTTGGAGTATCTTGTTTCCATGAATTTAATTCTAGGTTACCGCTTTAGTCTACATTTTACAGTCGAACGGAATTTCGCATGATGAGATGGAAAAAATCAATAATAAACATAGTGTGTTTCCAATTTCCATCTATAATTCGGCTTCCAAACAACAATATTATCGAAGAATTAAGATCTGGTTGGATCGAGAGTTTTCATGAGTAGACTTACGTAGCGGAGATAGGTGTAAGATCTAGGGTTTCTATTTTCTATGTAGACCGAGGCAGTGGCGTATCGTTATCGTTATTGCCGTATATGCACGTGCGGGTTGACGTTGCCATGGTACCCAACCATTAGCCATGAATATGATGTACCCGAATCCGAACGTTAGCGATACGCACCCCGTCTGTACTTATCGTTTAATCAGACGGCACTTCAAATAATTAAGCAAAGAGATGCAGTTCAAATAGTTGCCTACAAAATCCGATTTCGAAATTCGATATTCGATATATTCGAATCGAATTCAGATGATTCGAATATCCTATTCATATAGAATGGTTAATAAGATTTAGATTTGAATATGACTTGATTCTATTCGATAAATTTATATATAATAATAATATTTTATATAATTTATATATATAATAATTAAATTATATAAATAGTTTATATATTTATATATTTTATATCAATAAAATATTTATTTTATATATTTATTAATTATCTAAAATAATTAATTAATCAAATTCGATTATCGGATTTTTTAATCGGATTTAAATTCGGATGTTGCCTGATCCAGTTCGAATTCGATCCATTTATACCCCTAATTTTGTGGTACCACCACCAGCCCGTTCATAGGGCCGGATAGTCCAACAGCCCGACCTGATATTTTTTGGGTTTGGACAAAATTTCAGGCCTGTGTGTTTGGGCTCGAGTTTTAAATACTATTTTTTAGGTCAGGTTTGGACTTTCTCAAATAAGTCTAGCCTGGGCTTGAGCCTGGCCCAATACTATTGTATATATAAAAATATACATTAGTTATATATAATATATATTAGTTTATTAAATTATTATCAAATATTAATTACTATTTAAGAAATATGAATTAATTTATTATCAAATTAATATAATATTAGTTTATTAAATTATATCAAAATTATGACATTTTATGTGCAGATCGGGCTTTGGGCTCAGATTCGATATTTTCTATTGATAAAGAGATAAAGCCTGGCCTGTAAACAGGTCACCAATATGTGCTACTCCTACTATAAGTCTATAACAATTTGACTAGAGTTTTGGCAATTAAGCCCGTACAAGGAATTATGAGTGTCCCATAACACATCTCAACCGTATATTAAGAACATCTTCCCATAATAAGTATGAAAATGTTTTTAATACATGTTGAGATGTACATGTGGGGCGCCTGTGGGGCAGGCTCAGTGAAAAATCTCCCTTACGGTATAATCAATTATTAAAATATTAATATGATACAGTTCCTAAGAATTTATACAATAAAAAAATATAAAATAAAATATGGATTGCAAAATATAATAGACTCATTTAAAAAAAAAAAAACATAATGGAGTCACTGAAAAATAATAAGGTAATTGAATTTCGAGCTAGATTTGTTTGGTGATCGATGTTCAAAAAAGTAGGTAGCAATCATCAACTGAGACAGACATTTGCATTGCGGCGGTGATTGTAATAGCGAGTGCACCGAGGTGGTCTTTGCCTTTATGATCCTTAGAAGCTACATGAATAAGAACGTAAATCTAACGTGTGTTAAATAGAAGCAGAGATGGTTTAAATTTATAGAAGAAATATATTAATTTCAAAGAGAATAAATATAGTGACGACTCAGTTGTGAGAAACAAAGTTTCTTGTTCACATGGAGTTGTGCTTTTTTTTTCTTGTCCTCTTGCTGTTATCCAACCTTTTATGCTTATAATTCATCTAGTCCTGTTCTTCCATGCCAATCTACCATTTGTTTTGGTGCTTTTTGGTTTCATTTTTAGAAAGAAAAGGATATAATTGAAGCAAATTAAGAATAAAAGGCTGTGTTTGGTTGCAGTGCAACTTTATTTGCATTAGTACAAATACATGAAAGTGCAAATGAAAAAATGCGAATTCTTGTTTAATTTTGTTTTGGATTTTACTTTATTCTATTTCATGTCTTAATTTACTTCATTTGTACTGTAATCAAACAAAATAAGATAAAATTTGAAACAAAAATAGGTCAGAATTTACACTCAAATTATTTGCACTACCATGGTTTTGCATCAGTACAAATTTATTTGCATTGCAATCTAACACAGCAAAAAGAGATCTAGAACTCAAGGCACATTTATCAGCATAGTTGTACACAAGGTTTAAAATTTCGATACGATACGCCCGATGTGGGGTGCATTGTATCGTATCTTTGAAAAACAGATATGGGATATGCATGGAAATCAGGCGTCTTGTCTTTTTTCATGCGTATCGGACCCGTATTGGTGCGTATCAGAAGCATATCGACGAAAAAGATACGGCCAAAAATTGAAAATATATATATATATATATATAGATATAGATATATATAAAAGGGTAAAAACAAGCTTCTTTTCCTTGAAATAAGCCTTCTTTCATTCCTAAATGACTCTAAAACTCCAAACCTCATTCCTAGAGTGCTAAATTTGCAAAAAATTGCAAGAAAAAATTGTGAATTGTTAATTCTTTTTTTTATTTTTCAAATTTTGAAAAATATGGCAAAAATAGGTAAAATTTTTCAATTTTTTATAGTATCTTGTGATTTCTTTTTTTTCTAGAATGTTTAACTTTATGTTGATATACATTTCTTACATTCAAAATCATAATTTTTTGTGTCATTAATAAATTTATGGAAATTTCATGAAGATATTTGGGGAAAATATAAATTAATAAAAATTTTGAAAATGTAATTTTTCTCTGCATATAAAGACTAAATATGTTTTAGATCTATGGATTTATCTATCATATCCATAGAGGAATTGAAATTTCTTCTTTAGTATTTTTTGATTTTTTATATTTTGAGAATTAAAATAAATAAATAATAATTAATTATGTTTTATAATTTGATCATAAAAGTTGAATATATTATAATTCTATAGATGATCTTTCATATCCACAAACCAATTGAAATTTATTTAATAATTATTTTTTTATTTCTATATTTTTGGAATAAAAAAATAATTAATTAATTAATTATATTTTATCATTTTATCACAATGATTGAATATATTATAATTCTATGGATGATCCATCTTATCGACAAAGTAATTGAAATTTCTTCTTTAATAACTATTTTTTGGATATATTATATAATATTTATTTATTTTTATAATTTTTGAAAATAAATAATAAATAATTATTGATTATATTTTCACTTAGATGTTGTGCCAATGCATGTTTTATGGTTGGATAGGACAATTGAGTTTTTCCCATCCCATAAAACATTAAAACTTAAGAATTATAATTTATCAATTATAGATAAGCATAGGATTTTTAATGAAATTATAATTACCTACAATAAATTTCTTCATAAACCATTAATAGGGTTGTTCATGGGTCGGGTTGGGTCGGTTTACTGAGATTTTTCCAACCAACCCGACCTGGTCGGGTTACTTGGAATTGAAATCGAAACTGACCCTGTGTTAAGCAAAACCGACCTGATCGGTTTGAGTCAGGTTGGGTCGGTTTTGGCTCTAAGTTCAACCATGGTAATAAATTGGTAGATTGGAGAAAGAAGACTGAAATTAAATGTAAAAAATGATACCTAATTCTATTAGAGAAAGAAGACTGAAATTGGCAGGGGGGCGGACCAAGTTAGAATAGAAGTTATCAAGAAAATAGAAAGTCAAACTGTATTAGAGAAAGAAGACTAAAATTTGTATATTTCAAGAAACTTTCTAATCTAAGTAAAAAAAAACACCTAATTCTAATTGTAATTGGTTAACTATTTGGTGTAAAAGACCATAAAAACTATGATCCTTTGATTCTTTTCTTTAAACTTTTCCAAAAAAATTCCTTATCTATTTGTCTTACAATACTTGCCATTAATGTCATTCCTAACTAGAAGACTAGAAATTAAGTTAGGTTGTAACTAGGATAGAGACAACTTAGTTAAGTAGGAACTAAGTAGGTTGTAACTACTAACTAGGAACTAACTACAAACTACTAAGTCGGTTCAGTTCGGGTCGGTTTATGATTTTTTACAACCTGAAACCGACCGGTGCTAAAGAAAACCCAGCCGACTCGGGTTGGGTCGGTTCGGGTTGGTCAGTTTGGTCGGGTTGGGTCTTCTTATGAACAGCCCTAACCATTAAAATATATTAATTTAATGTATATACACCTCATTGAGGTCTTATATTAATTTAATGAAAAGTACTTTCATAAAGTGTTTTTGTAAAAGTGCTTTCCTAAAATGTACTTTTATAAAATTGCTTGTGTAAAAGTACTTTTGTAAAACTACTTTCGTAAAAGTACTTTTCATAAATTTATTTTATAAAATTGGTTTTGTAAAAATGTTTTCATGTTAAATTGCATGTGAACACGAAAGTTAATAAAATCTATTTTATTTCACTTTGAATCATAAAATGAAATGTGGCACGGTAGTTTAGATTTGTAATGAGATGTAAACTTGCTAGGAGTACCGACTTTGAGTCACATTAATTGTTGTTAATTTAGATTTGGCGAGCCTAAATAGAGCTTAACATTGACCCAACCCATCCTGACCCATGCGACCCAACCCATTTTGACCCTAACAATACCCTCGACCCAACTCACCCTGACCCATTTTCACTGACCCTAATGGGTTATTCAACCCATATTGATCCACCAATAGAATAGGTGGGTTCCAAGGTGAGTGGGTCAAATGGGTTGGGGTCAAGATTGCCAGTCTTATTTGCAACATTCCATATATAGCCATAAATAACTTCAAGATTACAGTGTATACATAATCTCGCCTCTAACATTCAAATATTTCTTCATATATAAGGCAAAGAACATTGGATTGATAATGGATTGGT